GGCGGAGTGCTGGCCACGGGGGGGGGCGAGAGTAGGGGTGGTGGGAGGTGTGGTGGTGCTGAGGCCTCTTTTTTTTTAAAATCTGTCTAATCTTATTTATTATTAAAAAAATTTTAAACTAGTTTTTATATTTAATTTAGATTTTGAAATTTTTTAATAGCTAAAATACTAAATTAGCAATTCCAAATCAGCAAGTTAACGGTTTTACTAATCAAATTGATGGAATGAGGTAACGGGGGACGCAGAATTAAAGCACAGGGGGCATATTGACCCAGTTTGAAATGTAGGGGGCATGCATTACATTACTAGTGTCTTCCAAGTTCCAACACAATCTGTGTCCTCATATAGACCTTCATGCAGAGAAGTGACGCTATGTTCTAAATCACAAAGTTCTTCAATAATAGAACCAAAGATTTATTCACAACCCAATTCAGGTTCAGACTTCTGACATGATTGCAAAAATCCACCCCTCCCTCTCCCTCTCTCTAACAAGAAGATAGTCTTTGAAAATAAAACAAAGAGAAGATAATAAGAGAGCTCTTTAACCTTGTCTAGCATTGCTGCCTTTTCTGCAAGCATGAGTTCCCTGGCCCCAGCATCCTTTAGTTTCTTTTCATACTTCTCCTGTGATGAGGTAGGTGGTCAAATTCATGGATAGTACAGAGCTCTCAACAACACTTTAGTCGATCATTTTAAAGCAAGGGAATAATAAATTCTTGTAAGTAATATTAGAAACCTTTAACGTTCTCTTTTCTTCAGAAAAAACACGAGCGTCTAACTCAGCTTGCCTTTTTTCAGCAGCATGAATGGTTTGTAAGAAGTCAAGAACTAGCTTTCCATCTTTGGATATGTAAGCATCATTCAACCCTTCAATTGCATCAACGAGAGCCTGTTATTCAGAGAACCAGAATTTAGTGAGTTCCATTGGACATTCTCTTTTGGCATTGCAACAGCACTATGCATGGAAGAGAAAAAAGTAAAATAAAAAAAATGCTGATAACTACCTCTTTTTCTTTAGAAACTTGATCGTTTTCATTGTTAGAGTTGGTTGCCGTGCTTTCATCAGCCTCATCACTTAGATTATATGTCTTGAGGAGAGAACCTGATGGTTCTTCATTATTACCTAATGCAACCTGTAACAAAGTTCCACCAAAAGCAACTTCATATAAATACCATTCAAAATAAGCTCCCTTTGATGTTAAAGTCTAAATGACAACGGTAACATAATTATTGTGATGTATCAAGTTTCATTGATAAGTGCAGCCTAAAATTCTAGCCTTCACAAGTGTATCCACAAGTATTCAGCTTGTTAAATGGAACCTAAATGAGAACTACCTGTACCTTGTCTTCTGTGATATCCTGTTGATGCGGCAATGTTTTCACCTCATTTTCTTGCCGCTGATCTGCATTAGTCTGCGAAACTATTGGCGATGTTTGTACCTCCTCAGTTATCTCCACACTAGTTTTTTCCTCTGTACTCTTCACATCTACATTCCCTTCAGATGATAACCCAAGATTTTCATTTTGGGAAAACTCAGGCAAAGCTTTCTCACTTGTTATGTCACTCTCAGATTTATTATCATCCACCTGAGAATGTTCTTCACCATCTCTTCCACTCAAACCCTCAACATGAGCAACATCTGAATGAGTTTCAATCTTCTCCTCAACATTGCCAGCTTTTTCTTCATCATGCTTTTCTTCTTCCACAAGTTTTTCCTCCACACCAATCCCAGCTTCCTTATGCAAATCACTCTTCTCTTTTGCACCAAAAATCGGGTCTAGATACCCAGTTTTGTAAGCTCCCACAAGCCCAGCACCAACAACAGCACTTCCAAGGAAAATTTTGGCGCTCGAACCGCCGTTCTCCGGCGGCGGCGGCGGCAAACCGCCTGCACCACCAGGTTGCTGCGGCGCAATTTTGGACGCTGCGGCGGAGAATTCCCTTCTAAGAAATCTTGAAACGTGCTGCAAATTTGAAGTCCCTGTGTGTTATTATCAACAAAAGCATCACCAAATTCATACACTAACTAGTTCTAAATCAAGTGGAAATTTACATGCCTGACTTGAAATCGACCTCGGAATCTTCCTAAGTCCACGACGAGACGAAATTTGCAAAATTGATCTGTGGAACAAAGAAGAAACAAAGTGTCAATAGAGGCATTGGCGTCGCTGAAAGTAATTTGATAGAGAGATTCCTGAGGATTTCCAGTACCTTCGAAACATGGTTTTGTGGTGTGAGAGAGAGAGAGAGAGAGTGGAAGAGAGTGAGGCGCGAAAGGGCGGAGGAGGTGTTTGATGAAATGACGGAGTGAGTCAGTGAGCGACGGAAAAGAGGGCTCGCTTAGGATGGCTAAAACGAATCGTTTTGGGTTATTGGCTTGGGCCGCGCATATAATAATAAGCCCTAGACTTTTAAAATAAAAAGGTTTTATTGTCTGACCAAGGAAGAGCCCAGCTGCCCCAAGCCAACTCCATGGTAAGTCCCTGCTTCTGCTTCTTCTCCTTCTCGTTTTCACTGTTCATGAAGCTCTCTCAGTCTCATCCATGGCTTAACAAAACTACAGCAGAAAAATAGAAATCCTAGAAAACCCAAAATAAAATAAAAAACGAAATATTATTTTTTTCTAAGGAAATGTCATTATTTAAACCCTAAACCCTAGACTTTGGTCATAATCTTATTGAGAATTTCTTTTAATAATTATTTGATTTTAAATCCTGAAGTTCCTTTCTGTTTATGAGACTTTTTCTTTCTCTATTATGTAGGTATAGCTTGCTGTTGAGGACAAACTTTCTGTAAGAATGGTTGATTTCCTCTTTGATGATATTTTTACCATTGAGAAAGTGGATCCGGATGGCAAAAAATTTGATAAAGGTTTGTCTGAATACTAGTTGCCCTCTTATGATTGCCAGAAAACTTGACTTAATCTTGATTTATTGAAGGGACTTATTCACATAACCGGGAAAAAAAAAAAAAAAAAAAGGGGGGGGAACAGAAGATTACAGTTTGTACTGATAAGAAGTGAAGCAAATTTTCCTTGTCCTAAATAGTCTTTTTGTTTTTCAAGCTTCACCAGATGGAACTATCTGCCTTTCAAGCTTTTCCATCACCTCCTTTTTAGATTAATTATGGTCATGATATGCAAACAAGTTGTCCTCTCACTGGTGGTCTGTGGACATTGTGTTCCTTTTTTTTTTCTTTGAAATGGTGTAGGGTTGAGGTTTATTTTGATTTATGCCACATTGAATTTTGCAATTTAAAAATACGGAGAAATTTCTTCTAGACTCTTTTTAATGGTTTCTTTCGGGTTATGAGACATTGCTTTGATTGATAAATTGTGTAGAGGAGTTCATTGTCACCCACCCCATATAGTTATAAAAGGCCTTTTACATTCTATTAGCTTGGCATGATCGATAAAACTTTTGAATTTTTCTGGAAAATACTCTAATGCTTTTTGGGTGCTTTTGTTTAAATTTTCACAAATGTGCTTCTGTAGTTTCCCGAATTGTAGCACAAAGTGAGAAGCGTGGTGTGTCGCTGATCCTAGATGTGAATACGGAGATATATCCGATGCATGAGAAGGAGAAATTCTTGATGGTGCTATCTCCCACACTTAACTGGAGTGGAGCACCTGTTGCTGGAAAACAGGGACAGGTACTGTACTATACTTTTGAGGTGAACTTGGAGAGCAGGCGTATCAAAATTATGTCAATTTTAAATGGGAGAAAATTCCATCCACAGATTCATGTCTAAGATTAGCATCTTCCTTGCATGGCCAATATCCCATGATCACTCAGTGCTGATAATCATGATGGTGTGGATTGTGTAATTGAACAGTGATGAAAAATAAGAATAACATTCTGTTGTAGTTTGTATTTTGACATTTTCTATGGACTAGTGCCTGTATGTTGTGCTTTCTGAATTTTTTGGAATTCTCTAATTGCCCATTTACTGAAGATGATTACCTTTTGGCAGGTTGAGCAGAAATCTCTTGCAGACAAGTTTGATTATATAATGCGTGGATTGCTGTATAAAATGTCAACAGCAAAAGGGAAATCAGAGTATTCAAAAGAAGGTGTCGAAGTGTAAGTGACATACTGCTCAAACTGTATTTTTCTTGCAAATTATTCACAGAGTGATCATTACTTCCATGTCGAAATAGCGTATTGAGGTACAGTGGTTTCTGGCTAGATGGGGTTCATTTTTCTGGCAATTATTTAGGGATTGCTTGTGAATGCAACTAGAATTTATGTTGTAGAAATCATAAAAGGGTTGATATCCATTTGGTCTCTTTTATATTGCTTTCGTCTTATAATATCTCGAATTTAAATTGTCTGAGTGAAAGAAATCCATTTCTGTTAATCTGAATTTAGTGGCTTTGTGGTTATCTAATTTACTGGGTTTTCTAATTGGCTTCAGGGAGGTATATGCTTCATTTGGTGGGCTTCAGATGATGCTGAAAGGAGATCCAACCAGTTGTACTAAGTTTAAGATTGATCAGAACATGTTTTTGCTTATCAGGAAATTGATGTGAAACTTTTGTCATATAATTGAACAGTGTGGCTTGTTAAACTCACAAATTTTCTGTATACGCCTTTAGATACGTCTAATTCTACTTTTGCGTTTCATTAACGGTGATATGTTGCAGATTTTCAATGTTCTGATATTCCTTGTTTCTTTTTTTACTTGGTGAACCGTTTTCTGAGATTAGGCAGCAGGCTAATAATTTATAGTGTATAAGGTAAAACAAAAGATGTATTATTCCCAGACTTCAGCAGGCAAAAATCTTGGATTATTTTGAACTCAATAAATTCTCAATTAATCTCCTTTTTTATGAAATTATTATTAATCCTCCTATCAATTGGTTTATCCCTTATTAGGGGATGGCCATGGTGCAAACTTTTTTTGTCTGAATTTCTTTTCATATTTGAAGGGGAAAAAAAGAATTGTAGACTGTGGGAATTGCGTATAATTTGATTGTGTTGATATTTGCTCTTCCATGCATCTTCTTTGTTATATTAAGAGGCTCTGGTTGTAAATCTCTCTGGAGAATAAGAGAATGACAAAACAGCTGCCAATATGGAAATTAAGACAGTTCGAACAGTAAACAGAAAGCAAAAGTAAATTGAACAAAATATAAAATATAAAATGCCAACCAAATGCCATTGGTATACAAAATTTACTGTATAGTGTAGGTTTATTACTCATACGGCAATATTTATTTAAAAGTGTGGTGAGGGTTTATCGTCCATACAACTGCTTTTACTTTTTATTTAAGGTAAACTATCGACTTACCTCTTGAACTTGTACATAACTTTCAATTTATCCCCTGACCTTTATTTTTAGTGAATTAAGGGCTCAAATTAAATTTTATTATCAAATGTTCCCCCCACCGTCAAAATTTGAACATTTCATCCATTAATCCGTCCATTTGAGGGTCATTTTGGTGTTTGGGCCTAATTTAGCACACCCACCAGCGTTCCCTTGTAATTAGGTCAAGATTACACACTCAGCCCAACACCGAAGGCCCAGAAGGACGAGGCAAAATCAGACCTAAACAATATGGACTAAAATCGAAATCAAGAGCCCAAGTCAAAAAGCCCAGCCCAGGACCTACCAAACCATGAGAAAGACTTGGGCTTCGAAGAAACCCAAATTGGGCTTGGCATGGTCAAAGTGAAGAAGAAGAAGCCCAAAAGGAAACAGACCCACATGATTTTTTCTGACTTAGAAAAGTCAGCAATTTCAACTTGGCTGATAAAGAGTTGACAAAGGCAGGCAATAAGGAGGGGACATCTCTGAAACTCTGCCACCAGAAGATCAAAACCCTTTTATATATTCAGAGATAATGCTTCTGCTCCAAAGAATGCATCATCTTTCAAGGGATACGTAGACTGTGTTTTCTAAAAAAGATAAGCAGGAAATAGGGAGTTGTTCAAACTGGAAAATCAAACTAACCATCACAATTTGAGCTCTCACAGGGGGTAGTTGGAATTAAAGAGGGGTTAGTTTTTTTTTTATTTATTTATTTTTAAAGGAAAATGATTGTCTTAAGAACTGACCATTGAGGGCTTATCTGCCAGAACTGATAAACCCCTCTTTTTCTTTGCATTTAAAAATGAATGCTCAGTACAAAACTATAGTAACATCAAATAAATGCTCAGTACAAAACTCTACAGCTTCTTCAGCTATATATCGCTTACCAATGCAACCTTCGAGATGAGTACAGTTCTGAACATACCCCTTTAGCACTTTCATATATCTTTCAAATGGGTACATCCATCTAAAATATACTGGCCCACATAGACGAACTTCTCTGACAAGATGTACTACTAGATGAACCATGATATCAAAGAATGAAGGGGGTAAACATACTGAAGCAACCAAAAAACTCATTCGAGCCCCAGAAGAAGTCAGCTATAAATCAGAACTTCCAATTCGGACTTAAGAGAAGTAAGTCATTCAAAGCAAGATTTCTCTCGTTACAAATTTGGTTCAGCAAAAAACCAAAACAAGCAGAGTTTGAGTTTTTACAAATATGAAAACCTCAACAAATATATGAAGAGCCTTGACCAAGCAGAACGGGTACCACAGTACAGTTCCAGCTCAGTAATCCTCAAGTCCAGCCACTTCTCCCCCTTTCAAACTGAAGGAGTCGCAATTCTGCCCATTCAAAAAGCCTCACATGTAAGATCCCACATTGACCAACAGAAAGGGGGTGATGTGCCTTATATGTACATACCCGCCTCCATCTAGCATCAGGCCTTTTGGGAGCTCACTGGCTTCGAAGTCATAGGAACTCCAAAGTTAAGCGAGTTGGGGCTATAACAATCCTAGGATGGGTGACCCACTGGGAAGTTGCTTGTGAGTTCCCAGAAACAAAACCGTGAGGGCAGAGAGGGGGGCCCAAAGCGAACAACATCGTGCTACGGCGGAGCCGATCCTGGGATGTGACAATTTGGTATCAGAGTCGTTCTACCGTGTGGTGCGAGTGTGCTGACGAGGACGTCAGGCTCCTAAGGGGGTGGATTGTAATATCTCACATGGACCAACAGAGAGGGGGTGATGTGCCTTATATGTACATGCTCGCCTCAATCTAGCACGAGGCCTTTTGGGAGCTCACTAGTTTCGGAGTAATGTGAACTCCAAAGTTAAGCGAGTTGGAGCTAGAGCAATCCCAGGATGGGTGACCCACTGGGAATTTCTCATGAGTTCCCAGAAACAAAACCGTGAGGGCAGAGAGGGGGGCCCAAAACGAACAATATCGTGTTACGGCGGAGCCGATCCCGGGATGTGATATCACAAGGCTCGAAATGAATTAAAGCTTTGCCAAACTCGAACTTTGGTATCGATTTACAGCTGAAGCTCAACAGTTGAAGTTGGGAAAACTCAAGAATCGACGACGGTTGCTACTGGTTCGAATCGGGATTTCTCCGATCGTTGCGCCGCCACTCCAGCCGTCCATTTCCGGTGATTGAGGTGAGGTTTTTTCCTTTATTTGTTTGTTCTAGTTGGCCTTTGAGTAGGTTTGGATCGATTTGATGCGTAGAAATCGATTTGAAAATCTAGGTTTTTGGCCGGATTTCAAAGTGAAATTCCGGCCAGTTGCCGTCCAAATTGGACCTCCCCGTAGTTGAATGAAATGATCCTTGCCTTGAGTAGTATCTAGGGTAGGAAGGGTGAGCTGTGGTGTGAAGGTTTTCCATCGTCGGAATTTCTCTGCACACCCGCTAGCTGCCAGCGCGTGTGGCGTTTGGTGGAGCTGCAAATTGTTCCAGTGTGATCCTTAGGTTGTCATGAGCGTGTAGGATTTCGCGAATCTCGATTCTTAGGTCGTTTGACTATCAAATGGATTATCGCATATTGTACGTTATCCAGGTTCGATATGTTCTGACCGTTGGATCATTTTCAAATTGAAGTATGTTACTCTAGACAACCTTAGGATCGTGTAGGATTCGACAGATCAAAAAACGGAGGTCGTGGGTCCCGTGGGCCCGGTTGACCCGAATTGGGAACTGTGACCATCGGTTGACCGAGTGTCTTCCGAAGCTGTTTCATCGTGCGAATTGGGTAGTTAGACCGTAGAACACGTCTTTCCTCGTACTCACTGGAAACCCGGGAAGCTAGGGTTTTATTTTAAAGTTCTGTTTTGAAGCGCTGGATGTTCATTGTATTTTCGTATTCTGAATCAGGTACTCCGACCCAGCATACGCAGCAGGCGGGACCTTCTAAGGGTCAAGTTGTGTGGGACTACTTGTGAGTGGACTTTTCTTTTGAAACTCAGTATGAT